TTAACTTATCAAAGTCTGAGAGCAGTGTGGTAACCATTCATAGTCATTGTTGTTTAGTTACTTTCTCCTGCCATTTTTTCATCCCCTCCATCTCACCTTAATCCCTCTGCCCCATACAGTTTTTTAAAACTACAAAATCGATACATTTATAATGTGTGTATGTATTCACATATGTTGTGTATGTGTGTTTGTCTATGAATAAAATCAATAACTCTTTTTCTCTATTCTTATTCTTCAGAGGTAACAACCATAAATAATTTAGAGTGTATCCTTCCAGGTCTTTTTGTGTGTCTTATCATTTTTATAAAGTTCTGAGTATCCTTTCTTTAAAAATCCTACATTACATGAGTACTATATAAATGCATACACATACATGCATATATTCACATATAAAAATACAGCTTTTTAATGAGTGTGGGTTTTATGATATTTTTCTTATATAAATTGGTCATGCTGTACACATTGCTTTGCAACTTGCTCTTTTCTCTTAAGAATAAATAAGTCTTAGTTAATCTTTCCATGTAACTATAGATCTACCTCATTCTTTTAAACTGCTGCATAATATCCTATTACGTGGATATAGTTATTTAGTTAACCAACCCCTTTTGTGGACCTGATCTATTGATTGCTCCTCAAGTAAGAAGAGATAATTTGCATACTTTTAGTTTATTTCTTCCTCTATTTTTAGTCAAAATGATCTAGACTTTTAGATCCAGATTATTATTGTTTAATATATTTTATTGTTAGTGCCGTTGAGTCGATTCCAACTCCTAGTGACCCTGTATACAGCAGAGCCTGGTCTGTTTGCTCCATCCTCTCACCTTCCCGTGTTATATCAGATAATGCTCCACTGCTATTCATAGGGTTTTCATGGCCAGTTTTTTCAGAAGTGGGTAGCCAGGTCCTTCTTCCTAGTCTGTCTTAGTCTGGAAGCTCCACTGAAACCTGTCCACCATGAGTGACCCTGCTGGTATTTGCAATACTGGTGGCTTGCTTTCAGCGTCACAGCAACATGCAGCCACCACAGTATGACAACTGACAGATGGGTGGTGTGGTTTCCTAACTGGGAAATGAACCCAGGCCATGGCAGTAAGAGTTCCGAATCTTAACCACTAGACCACCAGGGCTGGTTGTTTAAATCATTACCTTCCCTATAAATAATTATTTTTTATGTTTCTAGATGCAGACCTGTTTTCCTTAGTTTTGTCCAGTATATTGTGAGTCCTTTCAGTCTGAAGGCTGAATCTTTCCTTGGCTCGGATAAATTTTTATCTATTATTTCTATTATTTCTCTTCTGCCTTTTCTTTCATTTAGATTGCCTGTGTGTGTGTGTGTGTATCTCCAGAATCTATTATCCTTGTGTCTCAAATTTTCGTTGTCTTCAACTCTCTTTTACCTCTCAGTTCTGGGAGAATTTCTTAAAGTAGCTTTTGGAATCATTGGTTTTTATCACAATCTGATGTACTGTTCACCGCCTCTATTACATTTTTAATTAAGTAATTGCTTTTACATCAGAAACCAATCTTTCTGGATCCCAAAGTGTTCTCCTTTCATAGATTCAGTGTCCTCTCAGATCTTGTTGAGAGTATACTTTTTAAAAAGTTTATTCCAGTTCTTTGGAGTGAAAAGGTTTCATAAGTAGATACTTGCTCTGGTTCCTCAGAACATTTATCTTTGAAAAATCACTTGTTCTTTTTCATATATCTGGTTGATTTTCTCTGTTTATTCATCTTTGTAGAAGATGGTCTTTGAGGTTTGGACTTTGATATGAATTTTGTCAGGTTTGTCTCCTAGTTTGAGAGTGAGTAATCTTTATATTTTCTATATTTTTGATTTATTTATCACTTTCCTTTTGTTTCTTCTTACCCATCTCCAGATAAGGAGAATGGTCGTTTATGAAGAATTGGAAGAGTATGCTAGCCAAAGGAAGTCATGGGGGAGAGAACCTTGCTACTATGCTGAAAAGCCTCTTGTCCACATTTGTTGTAACTGCTTGAAATTACCTGGAGCGCTGTCACTCTTCTCTAACTGGCACAAAGTTAGGCTCCTCATTTGGTGCCAGATGGACAGAAAACCATATCTTATGAAGAATAGTTAGAGGAAGTCAAGTTATTTGGTCTAGAATGGAGATTTATAGGAGACATAATAACTGTCTTCAGAAGCTGAAGGGCTGTCACAAGAAGGATTCGACTTGTTCCATGTAGTCCCAAGTGGTTGAATTATGTTAGAAGAGTGCTATCTTAAATTCAAGGAAGGAGGATTGCTATAACTGACACAGCTGCTGATTTAAACATTATTGACTCCATATTTCAACTATTCATTCAGATACTACCCACACTTTTAGATGTTACCATTTGATAACAATGTGCTGCATGGGTAGCCAAGTGCCTGTGTGAGGTACTGGAAGGAGGCTATACAAGCACTGGCTTTGTCATTTGCTCACAGAGGCATCATCCTCAGAGAACTGCTGCTTTCCATTCCTCTCCTCCTTTTTTGTAATTATTTGACCTCAATTTCTTGATACTTAGGGTGGCAGTCATTACCTTTCATCTACACGAACTCTCCCCATCCCTTTCTTATGACGTTCCTTTGGAAAATGTAGTAGGCAGTATAAAATGTCCATATCCTAATCCCTAGAACCTGTGAATGAATATGTTACCTTACATGGCAAAGGGAAATTAGACTATGGAATTAAGATTGTAATCAGCTGAATTTAAGATAGGGTGATTATCTTGGATTATCCAAGTGGGCCCAGTATAATCACAACGGTCCTTAAATGTGGAAGAGAGAGGCAGATAGTAATACCATGTGAGAAAGACTCGGCTGGCCATTGCTGGCTTTGAAGATGGAAGTCACCACAACCAAGGAATGCAGGTGACTTCTAAAAGCTAAAAAAAGGATCTCCACTAGAACCTCCAGAAAGAAACACAGCCCTGCTAACACCTTGATTTTTTAGCTCAGTGAGTCCTATTTTGGACTTCTAACCTTCAGATCTGTAAGGTAATTAATTTGTGTTGTTTTAAGCCACTAAGTGTGTTGTAATTTATTACAGCAGCAATAGGAAACTAAGAAAGAAAGATTTCTGAGAAAATCCAAGGCCATATCCCAGGAACAGTAAGAACAGCTTCTTGGTATTTCTGTTATTCAGAAACTTAGTGTATTTATTGCTGAACCAATGTATTCAACCATCTTTTGATAATCATTTGGCTATGCAAATATACATCCTTTTCTCTAATGCTTCTTGTTGACCTACTTTTTGGTTATCTAGGCTCCAGTCAATAAAAGTAGCCTTATTGTAAGAGTAGCCTCCTATACAAGATGAGGCCCAATGAAGTAAGTGGAGCTTACAGGGAGTGTGAATTCAACTCAATATGTGGAAGAATTTTCTGTTAAAACCATTCAAAGAGCAATCGGGCTGTATTTGAAGGTTCTATTGCAGGAATTGAACAACTATTTGGTGGAGACATTAAAGAGAGGATTCATGCATTGGTTGAGGTGTTGGACTAGTATAGACTTTATTGTTCTTGAATCTTAAAAACCTAAGGGGTTGTAAGGAAGAAGCATCACTGAGGATTGGGTAGGACCTCTGTGTACAGTGCAAATTGTGCCTACACTTGGCCTCCAGCCAAGGCAAAACCAAGTAATGGAATCCAGTTCATATTCTGTTTGCCAAGCTGTGCATTCTGGCTGTGGGGCTGCTATGCCCTGAGGCAGGGGCACCTTTTCCTAATTCATATAAAGGTATTGTCTACTTGATAAGATATGTGCTTGTAGGACTGCATTCACCCAAAGAAGGCAACTTTTTTCTAATTTACACAAAGATGCCGTATGGGCCAGCACTAACTCTTGGACTAGGGCTATAGGAGATGGTTTCTTAGAGCTGGTGAAGGCAAGACAAGGATAAATAAGAGAAAGTAGGGAGGGAGGGTTATACTACTAATGCTTTAGTCTCATTCTGACTTCTCTAACCCCTCAGCTCACTTCCAAATAGTGCTATTGGTGCTTGCTTCCAGTCCATATATTCTAATAGCATATCTAGTTGGGAAGAGAAACTAATGAATGGATAAACTAATAAATAAGTCTGTATTTCAGAGCTAAATAAACATGATCTCTTTTGGGAGTTCACTGTATAAGGTAGTAGTGTTTTGTGCCAGTCTCAGCCTATCGATAACCAGTGTTCTGGCTGGACCAGCCCTTGTGGTTCTTATTATGATTGGAAGACACCCTTCAGCAATAACCATCAGGAAACTTTGAAAAAATAAAAGTTTATTACTTATAGGACCTGGAAATTACACAGCACACCTGGGGCCACACAGTGAGGTACAGAGAGAGAGAGAGAGAGAGAATGAGCCTGGGGTTTTGCTTTTATTGGGGTCAAGGGTGAGGCCCTAGGATTTCATGGGCTCCCTCTTTATTGGTGAATTTAAAACGTAACAGTGGGAATTTAAAGCCCGGGAAGAGAAAAAACAATTGGCCCAAATGGTCAGTTATGAAAACCAACCAAGATCTCTAAAACAAAGGAGCTTCAGTGTGGGGAGGCAGCCTGGCTCTTTACCTAGTTGTGTGGCTGGCAATATGTTTACTTGAGATAGCCATCTTTGAAGTGGATGCCTTGGCAATCAAAGCTTAAGTCAGGCACTTGCATTACAAAAAGAAAAAAGCCAACTATCAGGGTTTACACTACAAGTAGCAAATGGGGAAAGCAAGAATCTAAGTATTGGAGATCAAAGGGAGAGGGTGTGTTTACTCAAAGTACTCATAGAGAAGGTAGAGCATCTCTCTCTGATTAGTATGACTGGTCACCTACCCAAATGTGTAGGGATAGATTATGCCAGGGTCTTAGCTGAAGCAGTTCCCATATTCGTAGCAGAGTCTCAACTGGCCAGGTCTCGTAGCTCCACTGTCCTCAATGCCACAGACCAGGTAGTTAGATCTATCTGGATGTGGCTTTGAAGCTGAACAATGTGCAGATTCCTGCCCTGTTTGTGTATTTTTCCAGATGTCCTTTGAGATGAGTCATGAGACCCTGTACTTGGCAGTGAAGCTGGTGGATCACTACCTTATGGAGGTAATATGCAAGAGAGACAAGCTACAACTCCTTGGTTCCACTGCTTTTCTGATTGCAGCAAAATTTGAGGTAAGCCTGAGTCCATAGGACCTGGAGAGAACTAATCAATCAGGTTTCTAGCCAAGCTGGATATATATGTATGTATGTATATTTGTGTGTATATGTATGCATGTATATACGTATATATACATGTGTGTATATACATTTGCATATATGTGTACCTATGTGTGTGTATACAATTACATATATACACACACACAAATAATTTTTCCTACCAATTTTTTGTCTGTCTTCCCCAGCAAGGAAGCTGGTGTTGGATGGCAATGGTGGTATATTTGTTTCCTGGCATCAACAAGGTTCTTCCATTTCCTCTTTGAAGATGTGTGTATGTGGGCATGTACCTAATTAAATGGATCGTTCTTTTTAAAGCTTCCTTCTGGTCCTTAATTCTCTGCCCCTACCCCCTTTCTTCTTCCACTAGCTCCATCTAGTGCTCTTGAACTGCATATATAAGCAAGCATTTCCAAACCTGGGCACTGGAGGCATTTAAGAGAAAATGGCCTCGTGTAGATGGTAGTGAGTTCAGGTGAAATAGTTATTTCTGAAGGAGCAGTATAAAAGCAAGTAGCTGGCCTTTTCCTTCATAACCATAATCCATCTAATTTCTCTGATTCTTTCCTCTTCCTTAGATGCTAAATGATCTTGTTCAACTCTCATTTTTCCTTCTGTTAGGCTAGTTGTATGAAACCTTAGGGTTTAGGAGCAAAGAAGTAGCAACTTTTACTGAGTTCAAAGAGCTTTAGAACTGTGGGTTTGTTTTTGTGCTCCCTCGCTAGCTCCCTCCCCAGCTCTATCCCTAACTTGCTTTCTGCCTCTGTCCCTCCTTCACTCCCTCCTTCACTCACTTGCTCCCTACCTCTGGTCCTATACCTCCCTCCCTAACTCCAACCCTCCTTCCCTCCCTCTCTTGCTTCCGCTGTTGCTTCACTTCTGCAAATTGCTCCCTAGCTCCTTTTTTCCCTGCAGCCTTCTCTCAGTCCCTGCCTCCATCTTCCATCCTTGCTTTGTGCACTTGCTCACTCCTTACTGGGTTCCCTCCTTCCCTCCCTCCCTCTATCGCTCTTTCCCTCCCTCCCTTTCTCAGTCCTTCTCTCACTCACTTCCTCCCCTCTTCACTTGCTCCCTCATTCATTCCCCTGCTCCATCCCTTGCTCACTGGTTCCCTGCCTCCCACCTTTGTTCCATCCCTCACCTCTTCTGTGCCTCCCTCCCTCACCTTCCCAACCCCCCTTCCCTAGCTCTGCTCTGTACCACTCCATCCTCCTCCCTCCTACCTTCCCTCCCTCTCTCACTTTCTCTTCCCTTGCTTATTCTCTTTTCTCCTTCTCTTGTTAACTCTCTCCCCTCCGTCCTGCTGTCCCATCCTCTCTCCCTCCTTCTTTGCTCCTCCCTCCCTCATCCCCTTGTTCCTCTCATGCCTTGCTCCCTCCACCCTCCTTTGCTTCCCCCTTCCCTCCCTCTGTCCCTTCCTGCCCTTTTCTGCTCTCCTCCTTGTTCCTTCTCTCCCTACCTCCCACCCTCGCTTGCTGGTACCCTGGAACCCATGACTCCCTCCCACCCTAGCTCTCTCCCACCCTCCTTCCCTCGTCTCCTTTTTCCCTTGCTCCCTCTCACTCCCTCCCTCTCTTGCCCTCTCCCTCACTTTTTTCCTCTCTGGCTCATTTCCTTTCCTACTCACTTGCTTCCTGGTTCCATTGCCCCCCCCCCCTTGATAGCTCCCTTTCTTGCTCTCTCCCTCCCACCCACTCATACTTGCTCCCTTCCATCCTCCCTTGCTCCCTCTCTCCCTAGCTCTCTCCCTCCTTCTCACCCTCCCTCCTTCCCTTCCATGCTCCCTAGCCTCCTCCTTCCCTTTCTCCCTCTCTCCCTTCCTTCTCCCTCACTCCCTCCCTTGCTCCCTACCTCACTGCTTCCCTCTCTGGCTCATTTCCTTCCCTGCTAACTTGCTACTTGGTTCATTCCCTTTCTCCCATTTCCTCTCTCTTCTTCTCTCTCCCCTCCTCCCCCTCCTCTTCCCTCCTCTTACCTAGGGCCATCTTTGTAGCTTAAGCAAGTACTCCATGCCTCAGCCTCAAGGGGGTTAAAAAAACAGCTGGGGGGCCCTGGCCAACAGAGAGCAGGAGGGAGGAGAAGAATGTGAGGGGCACTTCTTAACAAATCTTGGAACCTGGAGCACCCCTCTTCTGGTTACCAGGTTAAAGGGCCCCCACTAAGTTTTTTGGAGAAGAGGTGTCTTCCCCTCACATGATTGAGAAGTACAGACAGACTTTGCAAGGGGAGGTGTGGAGATGGTATGAGAGGAGAAGAAAGGAAGGAGCCACTGGTGAGTAGAGCAATGGAAGGGAGAGTTTCTTGCCCTGGTGTTGTCACTAGGTTGCTGTGTGAACTTGAACAAGTTGCCTCCTCTCTCTGGGCCTCAGTTTCCTTGTCTGCAAAACCAGAGAGTTGGTCCAGTCTGTGATCTGAAAATAGAGAGATAGGGAAAGGTGTGGGAAGAAGGCTGAGGTGGGCAGTTAGATGCAGCTGGAGAAAAGATTCAGGGGTCTTCCTGCCTCCTAGTCCTCTTCCCAAAACCAAGGTTTCACCCGCAGAGGGCGGGACATGGGAAGGGGCTCCCGAAGAGGGGCTCTTCTCACCCTTGGCCTGGCCTGGATCTTCCCAGTCTAGGCCCCCGTGCACATTCTCCCACCCCCTGCAGTCCTCATTCTCTGCTTGGGCTCCCTCTATGCCTGTTTGCCTCTCTCTCTGCCTGTTCCCCCATCAGTGCCCCTCCCAAACATTCTTATTCATTGCTTAGACTAGGACGCAAAAGTGTAGGCTTTTTTTCCATCTCTAGCTCCCCTTTCCATGGTCGTCTTCCCTCCCTCCCCCCAGGGCAGGCCTTAGATTTCTAACTTCTGGCTCTCACTCATTAGAAGAAAGATGGCTGCTCCCAGTCCCTGTGCCACTTATGCTACTTTCAGCGCTGTAAGAATCCACCCCAAGAGGCCCTATCCTCTCTCCAGTAGTTCAGTTTTTAGACAGATCTTTCCTGTCTCTCTGGTTATGTTTTTCAGATGGGCCAGTCAAATCAATGAGAAGCTGGCTCTCAGAGCTACCCTGAAGGTTTATGCCAGGAAATATTATTGCCTCCTATCCTTCACCCCTCTCCCCCTCTGCCTTTCATCTCCAAGCAGAGAGAAGTGGGCTGTCTTTGCCTGGTTGTGACTGCCTTTCTTCTCTACCCATAGGAGCCCTGTGCACCTTGTGTGGATGACTTCCTGTATATCTGCGATGATATTTATCAGCGAGATGAGATGCTCGTCATGGAAATCAGCATCCTGCAAACCCTCAAATTTGATATCAACATTCCTATCGCCTATCATTTTCTGCGCAGATATGCTAGGGTAAGAGGGAGGAGGCACATCTTCATTCTCTCACTGCTGCTTAGTCCCCTCCATACCCAGAGTGACTGCCTGAGTAGTAGGAAAAGAGAAAGTGATAACTAGACACAAGGGAATTTCCTTTTCAATCCACCCTCCTAGATTGGCAATCTTTATGAAGTGTGGAGGGAAGAAAATTGCAGATTTCCGTGGTGAGGGCAGAGTAGGGGAGGGGAAGAAGATTCTTTGATCAAGAAGGGATACATGGGAAGTTTGAGAGGGATGCTGGCAAAGTTGTCTTCCTTCACCTGAGTATTGGTTACAGGGGAGGTCACTTCATGATTATTCATTGTTTCTACAAGTGTGTGTTGTGTACTTTTCTCTATGTGTGTGTGATAAGTTATAATTTTTTAAAAAAAGATTCAAACAAGAAAAGGGAAGGAGTTCTTTTGGAGCATGGAACACCTCCTAGGGTGGAACCAGGTGTAAAGTTACAGTTGGAGGGCTTTGGCTCTTCAAAGGATGACTCATACAGAAAGGGGAGGTGGGAGGGTACCACAAGCACATTTGATAATTTGGTTAAAAACCCTGAAGGTTGGTTAAAAATCCTAAACGTGGCGATTTCAGAAATCCCCTCCTAAAGATTCTGTGCTTTGGGGGATAGGGTCTTTAGTGTAAGTCATGGCAGGAGAGGTACATTGTTCAGGCAGAGCCGTTTAGGCCTGAGGTGGGATAACTGGAGAGAATGGGTGCAGGGGATCTTCTGCTTAATGCCAGTTTTCTAAATTGATTGCTGAGCCAGTCTTGCTGCCTTTAGTGTGTCCGTGCCAGCATGAAGACACTGACCTTGTCCCGCTTCATCTGTGAGATGACCCTGCAGGAATACGACTATATCCAGGAGAGGGCTTCCAAGCTAGCTGCTGGCTCCTTCCTCCTGGCCCTCTACATGAAGAAGCTCGGACACTTGGTAAACACTTGCTGAGGGCGGGGGGTAGGGATTTAAAAGCACAGGGTCAACTCAAGAGGAAGGTGTAAATTAGGGCCATGGGAAATTTGGTGACAAAACTGCCGCGTACCCACAGTTATGAATTCTTTGACATCTCGACGTCTTAGGGACCTGGCTGCCTAAAAGAGTTTCTACAGCAATGGTATTGAAGTATTTTATTTCACTTTTCTTAGTCACAGTACCCTTTGTTCCAAAGAAAGCTTACCTGAAAGCCCAATATTGCAAAACAGACTAATTTGGAATTATTCTGATTGCAGGTGGGGTGGGGTAGGCCCACTTCTTACCTGACCCCATTCTGCCCCTGCCCCTTGCAGTCCCCTCAGGAAGGTTGCCCACTGAGGGAGCTTGTTGGAACAGGGTTTGAAAAGCACTGATTCAGAGAACAGAGTAGTGAAAGCAACTGTCCATGTGTATAATGGGGGACCCAGAGGTATACTGTAGTACTCTTCTCTGAAGAGGAAGGCCCCCAAAGCCTCCTACCCGAATACAAATAAAACTCATATTTGACAATTTTTCAATTTTATGAAAAATTGTGAATAAAAGCAACTTTAGAGAACTATGAATTTTTACTGATGTGTAACATGGAATCCAAGAAGGAAAAGTATGCTCACAAATGAGCATACTCTTTCCAACCACTCTTAAGCCCCTCCAACCTGGAAATCTTAGAGCCGCTACTGACAGGGAAACCTCTGTGTGCTGAGAAAGAACCCTGTAGACAGTTTTGTGAACTTGCACAAGTCATACTGAAATTTCTTGGCACAGAGAAATCATTCAGTAAATGGCAGTGATGATGATGAAAAAGAATAATAATAATGGCTAGCATTTATTGAGTGCTTAGACAGTGGTCTAAGCACTTTGTGTATTAACTCATTAAACTTCACAACATCCCTATAAGATCAGTACTATTATCCCCATTTTACAGATAAGAAATGCCTTCCCATGTTTTGCTAATGAGAGACAGAGCTAGTCTTTGGGAACTAGGACTGGTAGTCAAAGTATATACCTACTGTATAATCAGAATGGATGTGCCCATAGCTCTGGAGCCATGGTTCTGGAGGCCCCATGCTGAGCCAGGCTTTGACCATTGGGTCCTGGAAAAGTCTGTTTGGTTCTGAGGAGGCCAATTGAGAGGCTCAGGGCAGCAAACTGCTTGCCGACCAGTATAGAAATATTTCAATATTTTAACACGTGGCATGGCTGTACCAGTGAGTATCAGCTAAACGTTGGCGCTGATCTGAGCCCAGGTAGTCTGGCTCTACAGTCCTCTATGCTATATATACTGCTTCTATAGATAAGAAAGTCTTCACAGAGGAGGTGATGTTTGAGTTGGATCTTGAAAGATGAATAGGAACCTGTGAGAGGAGACATTCTAGTTAGAGGGAACAATAACTGAAAAGACGTGAAGGGAATAAGAAAAGAATGTGATGTATTTGGGACAGAATAAGACATTTCTTGTAGGTAAAGCAGAGGATGTATTAATAGACAACGATGAGAGATGAGACCAGAATGGAAGCGTGTGGTCAGATTGTGAGAGACCTTTGATGCTGGGCTGAGGGACCCACTGTATACTATGGCATTGGATGTATACTAAGGCATTGGAAGTTTTTTAGGAAACATACTGCTGTTTTGTGGGTTTTAGAAACAGTACTGGTATAGCAGTATAGAAGGTGTATGAGATGAGGGAGTGAAAAGGTGGGAATACCAGCGAGTAGGCTTTCATGATAGTCAAGGTGAAGCATTGAGGCCTGAACCTATGCAGTGACAATGGGGCCATTACTCTTATTTAATACACTCAACATAATGTGTTACCCACCTGCTCAGCATGCCAATGACTGCCCTTGGCCTGTGGCAGTAGTTTCCAAACAGTTTTCAGTAGAGCCCTGGGATTCCTGCAGAAGTATTTCAGGGGCCACGTAAAAGGTAAAAGGATCCAAATTGGTGGTTTTCTTAGCCCCCTCCCCCAATTCCAGGTAAGATATTTTGGCTTCCAGGTAAGATATTTGAAAAAAAGGTATTCAGGGAAAATAAGACATTTTTAGAAAACCACTGCCTTACAGAATAAATCTCCCTTTCTCTACCTGTGGAGCTCCCACTTGACTTTCTACACCCATTGCAGATGTGCCCTCCTCTATGAAGCTGTCTGTGACTCTCCTGGCCAAAGGTCATGGGAGTTCTGATTCTCCAGTGCTCACTTTTTTCTCCCATGATCACTTCCACTGTAGCACTTCCCACACATTTTGTAATTCTCTGTGTGCATGTATGTCTCCCCCAACTAGACTACAGACTCCTCAAGGGCAGCAGCCTTAGTCATCTTTGTATTTCCAGCATCCTGCACAGGGCTTGTAATATTAATCCTAGCTAGCATTGTTTGGGTGCTTACTATGTGCTAGACTCTGTTCCATGTGCTTTGTGCATGTTAACTCGTTTAATCCTATGATGTAAGTACTGTAATGATCCTCATTTGGCAGACTGGGAAACTAAGGCACCAAGAGATTAAATAACTGGCTCAAGGCTGGAATTTGAACCCAAGCAGTTTGCTTCCAGAACCTTTGCTCTTAAACACACTGCTCTATTACTTCTGCCACATAACAAGCATCCTTAAAGTTCAATGAGAAAATAAATGCATGGAATGATAGCTGTTAGAGCCAGAGAGGAGGAGCAGCCTTAAGTTCCTGTTGGCTGTTGAGTTGGGACCTCAAGTTTGGTCTGAGGTTTGCCTGGACGTTGGCTCTTGACCTAAGAGTGAGTAAATTACAAAGTCAGTCCTGTTCCTTAGATTCGTTGGTGGATTTCAGCATATGTGAATACCTACGGCCAGGGCTAATATACACCTGGTACATATGGATATAGCCATACCACTAGTTTGTGGCTGGAACCTAATCTAGGTAGTACCCTATAATTATTGGTCAGTGTCTATGCTGTATGAGTCTTTGAAATGTTGGACTATCTTCCCTGCCTATAGCATGGTTAGGAAGTTTGGATGTGGGACAGCAGAGATAGAAGAATGGTCTGCTTTCTGTTGTAAAAGTCACTATGCATGTTACTTCTTCCAGGCTCCTACCCTGGAGTATTACAGTGGCTATAAGACCTCTGATCTTCACCCCTTGGTCAAGCAGCTCAACACCCTGCTGACTTTGCATTCTTGCAATAGACTCAAGACTGTGCGTTCCAAGTATTCTCACCAGTAAGTACCAAGCTCCAGTTGAGGTTACGTTTGTACTCAGTCATGGGGAGGCCCAGACTAGCCTCACTTAGGGGAAAAGAAAGATCAGGTACTTTTCACCTTACTTTCTGCTCCAGGGTTAAAGCAAGATAGGGAACCAAGGGCCCTAGGTCCACTTCCATGGAGCCTGCTTGCTTTGGCCTCTTTTACACTGAGCTGCCCCCTCTTGTTTTTACAGGGTCTTCTTTGAAGTCACCAAAATCCCCCCCTTGGACATGTTGAAGCTGGAGGAGATTTTGAACTACTGCTGATTCTGAGGCTGAGGGTCTGGCACTCTGACAGCAACCACCAGGGCCAGGGAGGCATGTAAATAGGCAGTATTTATTCTGTCCTTGAATTTGTCTTTTAATCACTGTTCTTCATTTTTACTCTCTGTTTGTCTTTTCCCAAACTGAAAATGTAAATATTTGTGTTTTTTTTATGAAAAAGAAAAAAAATATTGTAGTATTTGATTAGAAATTTAATAAAAACTTAATGTTTGTTGTTAAAATGGCTCACCTCCCCTCTTATTGCTCAGGAGCCCCATGCATAGCCCAAAGATGTTTTTTTCCTGCCTAGTAAAGACTGTACCTCAGAGTCTAGCTTATCCAATTTCCTTCTTTGGAGGCTTTCTCTTCACGGAAGAGGAATTGAGCTAGGTATGAATTGATGGATGAGTCTGTAGAAGGAGAATCATTGTTGGGAGAGGGGTACCTAGTCCAGAGATCCCTACCTGACAGACAGGCCTTACTGTTCATATCTGGGGAAGCTGGGAGTGTGGGCCAATGCCCTTTGGTCCCCATCTCAGGTTGCTTGCTTTCTTTGCTTTTTCCTAGATGATGAAAAGGTGGGGATCAGGATTTTAACCCAAATGTAGCCCTACTTTCATAGTTAGGTGGCTTTCTAGAGTCTAAATTTGAAAAAACTGCTTGGAGTGGTGTGCTAAAATCTCTTCTAGCACTTATCTTCTGTCAAGAGGGGAAATTTCCATCTGTGAAATCAGTGAGATGTCCCATGAATGCAAGCATCAACCACTTGCCCAATTTTTCATTCATAAAGCCTTAAGGAGGTTCTACTCTCTGTGTCCTATCTTTGGGGTGATGTATACTTGTACAGCTATCTCAGTTGTTAACAAAGGAGTTGAACATCCTCTGTGCCAGTTAATGAAGAGCCACTGCCTTAATCTTGCCTCTAGGACCTCTGGGACATCCCCACAGTCTAGCAACTGAAGCAAGTAATGTCTGTCATAGCAGACCTCTAGGACTCTAGTCTAGTACTGTTCTGATTGGTCACTGGCCGTTTGTTACCACTTGTCAAATGTTTTGACTATCAGTCCTGGGAGTGGATATCTGGTGAAGGGGACAGTCAATGGAGAAGTTATGGGGAAAATACCTCCCTAATTCTGGCCTGAGACTCCCCATGCTAGTCTGGTCACATCACCTTTTCTGATCAGGGACAGGAGGGAGAGCATGCCAAGGCCTCAGATGTCTTAGTGCTTGCTTTCTTTTTGTGTCAGTTTCCCATTCCCCCTCCCAACTTGCTTTGCCTTGACGACCAGACATCATTAGTTTCCCTCCTGCCCCATTCCACTGCTTTGCAAGATTACTAAAGGGTACAGCCAGAGAGGTCCAAGCTACTTGGCAGTGATTTGGCTGGCACAGCCAACTTTGCATAAACATGCTAAAAGCACTGGGCTGGAATCCTTCTTGCAAATCTCCAGCCTCACTGAAAGGAAGTGTCTTGTACCTGCTTTTTAATTCTGGAGCTTCATCAGGGGAAAAAAGTAACTAGTTTGATTATCCCCTCCACCCTTTTCCAATTCTGTTGTTCTTTAGAGGTGCTAATGGAACTGTCAATCATTTTTGTTGTCCTCATTGCATATGTCTAAAAATTTATTTTATACTCATTACTACTTCAAAGTTAAGATAGCTATTAGACATGGATCTTGTTATTTAGTGCCTTATTAAAGAAGCATATATATTTCTTTATCAAGAATTTGTTTTTAGAGCCAGACCCGATGGCCTAGTGGTTAAAGTTCCGCATGCTCCGCTTCGGCCCCCTGGGTTTGGTTCCTGGGTGTGGAACCACACCACTCATCTGTCAGTAGCCATGCTGTGGTGGTGGCTCACATAGAAGAACTAGAAAGACTCACAACTAAAATATATAACTATGTGCTGGGGCTTTGGGGAGAAAATAAAAGAGAGGAAGATTGGCAACAGATGTTAGCTCAGAGCGAATCTTTAAAAAAAAGTTTGTTTTTATATTTTGATGACTCTACTTCAATATATATGGTTTTCTTTGTAACCTTATGTGTTTTTAACAGTTTTATTGAGATATAATTCATATACCATACAATGCACCCATTCAATTGAATCGTACACTTTAAATGGGTGAATTGTATGTGAATATATATTCATAGAGTTGTACATCTATCGCTAGTCTACTTTTGGAACATTTTCATCACCCCCTAAAGAAACCCCATACCCATTAGCAGTCAATGCCAATCTCACCCCACCCCCCGCAGCCCTAAACAACCACTAATTTACTTTGTCACTATACATTTGCCTATTCTGGACATTTCATATAACTTAAATCATACAATGTATAGCCTTTTGTGTCTGGCTTCTTTCTCTTTCAGGATTGATCCATATTGTAGTATGTGTCAATACTTCATTTCCTTTTATTGCTGAATAATATTCTGTTGTAAGGATATACCACATTTTGTTTATCCAGTCATCAGTTGGTGAAAATCTGGGTTGTTTCCACTTTTCGGCTGTTATGAATAGTTCTGCTATGAATATTTATGTACAAGTTTTTGTGTGGACATATGTCTTCATTTCTCTTGTATATAAACTTAGGAGTGGGATTGCTGGCTCATGCACTATTTTACATTCCTAATATACATTCCAGCAGTATATGAGGGTTCCGATTTCTCCACATCCTCTCTAACACTTATTATCATCTCTCTTTTTAATTTTAGCCATCCTAGTGGGTGTGAAATTGTATCTTATTGTGGTTTTGATTTGCATTTCCCTGATGGCTAATGATGAGCATTTTTTCATGTGCTTATTCACCATTTGTGTATCATCTTTAGAGAGACGTCTATTCAAATTTTTTGCCTGTTTTTAATTGGGTTGTCTCTTTATTATTGATTGGTAAGAGTTTTTTATATATTCTGGATCATATATATGATCAAATATTTTCTCTGATTTTATGGATTATCTTTTCACTTTCTTGATAGTGTTATTTGAAGCATAAAGGTTTTTTATTTATTTTTTTATTTTTTATTTTTTTTTTGTGAGGAGATCAGCCCTGTGCTAACATCTGCTAATCCTCCTCTTTTTTTGCTGAGGAAGACTGGTCCTGGGCTAACATCTGTGCCCATCTTCCTCCACTTTATATGGGATGCTGTCACAGCATGGCTTGCCAAGCAGTGCGTTGGTGCGTGTCCGGGATCTGAACCGGCGAACCCCAGGCCGCCACAGCAGAGCGCGCGCACTTAACTGCTTGTGCCACCAGGCCAGCCCCAAGGTTTTTAATTTTAATGAAGTCTGATTTATCTATTTTTTGGATATTTTCGTTTTTGTGTCACATCTAAGAAACCATTGCCTAATGCAAGGTCATGAAGATTTTCCCTCATGCTTTCTTCTAGGAATTTTATAGTTTTAGCTCTTACATTTAGGTCTTAAATCTATTTTGAATTAATTTTTGTATATGATGTGATGTAGTGGTCCAACTTCATTTTCTTGCATGTGGATATCCAGTTGCCCCAGCACCATTTGTTGAAAAATCTATACTGTCTCCACTTAATTGTCTTGGCATCCTGGTTGAAGATTAATTGACTGTAAATGTGAGAGCTTATTTCTGGACTGTCAATTCTATTCCATTTACCTATATGCCAGTTCCACACTATTTTGTTTACTGTAGTTTTCTAGTAAGTTTTTGAAATCAGGAAATGTGAGTTCTCCAACTTTGTTCATCTTTTTCAAGATTGTTTTGGCTATTATGGGTCCTTTGCAATTCTATATGAATTTTAGCATCAGCTTATCAACTTCTAAAAAGAAAGGTGGAATTTTGATAGAGATTGCATTGAATTTATAGGTCAATTTGGGGAGTATTGCCATCTTAACCATATTCAATCTTCTACTATAAACATGTGTTTTGTGTCAGTCTCAGCCTGCTGATAACCAATGTTGTGGCTGGACTGGCCACTTAAGAATCTTGTGGTTCTCATTATGATTGCAAGATGCCTCAGCAATAACCATTGGGAAACTTTGAAAGAGACAAGGTTTATTACTTAGGTCCTGGAAATTACACAGCACACCTGGGGCCCCCCAGCGAGGTTGAGGGAAGAGAGAGAGAGTGCACACGGGCCTGGAGTTCTGCTTTTATTGAGGTTGAGGGTGGGGACCTACTGTTTCATGGGCTTTATTGGTAAATTTAAAAGTTAAGAGTGGGAATTTAAAGCATGGGAAGAGAAAAAATAATGGGCCCAAGTGGTCAGTTATCAAAATCAACCAAGATCTCTAAAACAAAGGGAGGGGGCTAACAATGTGTTTATTTAAGATAGCTATCTTTGAAGTGGGTAAATTGGACACTTGCATTACAATAAAGAGAAAACCCAACTGTCAGAGGGCTTACACTATAGCATGGTATGTGTTTCCTTTTATTTAGGTCTTTAATTCTTTTCAACAATATTTTATTGTTATCAGAGTATACGTTTTGTATTTCTATTGTTATATTTATTCCTAAGTACTTTATTTTTTTAAATGGAGCCATCAGTCTTGATCACTTTCAATTTCTTGCTTACATGTTTCAATTATGGCCTTATAAGAGGGTGACCTCATTAAATCTTGGTGATTTTACCTCCCAAATATTTCTTTTCTTTTCTTTTTTTTATTTGTTAGGAAGATCAGCCCTGAGCTAACATCTGATGCCAATCCTCTTTTTTTCTGAGGAAGATTGGCCCTGGGCTAACATCCGTGCCCACCTTCCTCTACTTTATATGGGACGCGGCCACAGCATGGCTTGATAAGTGGTGCGGTGGTGTGCCCCCGGGATCCGAACCTGCGAACCCTTGGGCCGCTGCAGTGGAGCACGAGCATTTAACCACTGCGCCACCAGGCTGGCCCCCCAAATATTTCTTGACTTGGCATTCTCATCATAATCTACCACCACTGCTCAGGTTCGGGATCTCATTTATTGCCTGGATTACTACAGTATTTTCCTAACTGGTCTCCCTATCTTCAATTGTGTTCCTTTCAAATTACCCTTCATAAAATGACCAGAATGATTTATTTAAAATTCAATTCTAGATTACAGTCCTCGTTAAGATGGTTAAGTGCCTGACAGTCTTTGTTTCTCACTGAACACAATCATAAAACCTGG